AAGCTGAAACGGTATCACAAGGCTCCTTTCATATTGTAACTTGAAGAGGGATCTCAAACCAGTTGTTTGGTGGTAAACGCCTCTGTGCCACACATTACCATAGGACCTTTCAACAGCTAAACTCAACATAAGCAGAAGCTGAGCCAAATGAATGCACTGTACGCCCACACTAAGACAATCAAACAACAAACTTTGGTTTGAAGACAAGATTTTTCTGTGAATAAGAAATATGAGATGATTTCTGGCTAACCAAACCGCTTCCTCCACTTGGGAATCACCCTGTTGTCCAAACAGGCCAACATATCTCTTTAAGATTACAAGCTATGTTTATCCAGCCAGGAAAATTTCTCTCTGAAATCTAATACCCCCTCATATTAACTCTCATTATTCCCAGCCACCCTCTGGAAGAACCAACTTGTTGAAGAAGTGTCAAAATCTGAGTCTGGTCTGTGAGACGACAGATCCGCTATTCACAGCAGCAACACTCTGGATTGCACAAGCCACTATGGGTACCACAGCTCCAAATAACTATCATCTTCAGATGAGCTGAAAATGTTCTTCGAGAAACCTTTGGAGGCCATGAATTTTATTTTGCTTTAATGTTCTTATAGTCAACTTCAGAAATTCACTTCTGAAGTGAAAAATATAGAGAGATATATATCCAAATTCACAAAGTCACTTTCAAAGCTAAAACCACAGTTGCACTTGCTGTGGATTTCTCAAAATAACTATCATCTTCAGATGAGCTGAAAATGTTCTTCGAGAAACCTTTGGAGGCCATGAATTTTATTTTGCTTTAATGTTCTTATAGTCAACTTCAGAAATTCACTTCTGAAGTGAAAAATATAGAGAGATATATATCCAAATTCACAAAGTCACTTTCAAAGCTAAAACCACAGTTGCACTTGCTGTGGATTTTAAAGAAAAAGTATTACCCTGGCTCTTTTATTCCAGGAGCACGTCCTTTAAAGAGGAGAAGACACACAACAGGACCTGCATACACAAGTTCAGATCAGGAGCTTGGGGAAGCTGGCGCTGAGGTGTGGGAAGGGACTGTCCACCCACTTCTACCCTTCACCCTCCCTTTTTAACAAGACACAGTTGGTTTCTTTTTTCTGGAAAAGTTGTTGCATAAGATGTATTAAAAAAACCCCAAACAACTAAACAAAAAAAACACCACCAAAAAAACACTGTCAAGAAAAATAATAACCAGAGAGAAGACTGTCTCTTGTTTGTTTCAACTGAAGAAAAACTGGAGCAACATTCATGACTGGGAGCAAGTTTTCTGAGAATTATTCTTCAAGAGATGGCTCTATCAACTTCCAGCTGGACACAACAGGGCTGCCTCGGTCTTGCAAAAGGCAGAGTTTCATTTAAAATGGTCTTGTTACTGGTGATGATGTTACAAATTACTCGTTTGCTGTCTATATTCAAGCCAGAAGCTCCATTTGCACAGACTATACCACATGTTTTATTAAATCACACACCAGAATATATTACACATTTCTGTTGATCAGGAGAAATCTGAAAAAACTCAAACTTTGGAACAGTTATGATCTGGCTATGGATTTCAGGTCTGGTCCACAGTGAAAGCACACAGTCCCAACACATCTGAGCTTAGAAAAGGTCTTGGTCCCTTTCCAGACTTTGAACAAATGGCTTCATTTGTAAGTTCAACCACAACATTCACCTGCCATCCGTTTGCACATGGAGATGCGAGCAGGGTTTCAGCAACACAGAGATTGGGTTTGAGTTGTAGATGTAAATTAGAAATGATGTGTTATAGTTAAACTGGCTTATTTGGGCAGCACTGATCTGCATTTTCAACTCCTCTGAACTCCCTCTAGGGATCACCTGATGGCTGCTCTTGGAAGAGCTCTGCCAAATGTCCGGGCAGTGTACGTGCGCTCTGGTTTCACGTGGCCATCTGGCATCCACCAGTTAAAAAAATCAGCAGGAGGGGTTTTAACTCTTTGGCCCTTTTTGAATGCTTGCATAGACTTCTCTGACACACCGAGAGGAGCAGAAAGGAAGCAGTCACTAAGTAGCAGTACAGGGACATGGGGCAGCCCATTCTGATATGGCAAAATTGAATGCTCTGCTCCGTTTTACAGAAGCGAGCAACTTTGGGAGACTGCTGTCAGACCCTTTTCTCAGGGCACCAGAGGTTTCCCTGCAGGGGCCAGAAGAGGATTTTTCTCTTGTGACACACTGTTTGGCAGCAGCGAACACTATTTTTGTTTTCCTCTGAGACACAAGAGACTTGCTTACAGCTTTGGATGGGATGTCACACACCAGTTCTAGCAGCTTTGAATAACCTGGTGGATGCAACTTCTTCATGTGTGGAGGATTAAACAGATTTCAAACCAAGGAGGTGTGTCCCCTTCCTCGGTAAGGATGGGCACGGTTGCAGAAAGCCTTTTCCTGCAAATCATGTGGGCACTTCACCTAACATCCTCCTGCTCTGACAGGGACCAATGACACTGGTGACACCTGCAAATGCCATGCCTGTACCACAGCACAAACTGTAATGCTGTCTTTCCTACTAGGAGCTTTAAGTATGCCAGGAAGCACAGGGGAATAATTTGAGGCAGACTGAAGGAGAAGCATATATGCAATAGCTATTTTCTACAATCTTTTGTATACACAACCCCTGCACATCTTTTCCAGTGCTCAGGAGGCACTAGTCTGAATGGCACAACAAAGCCCTTCCTCTCCCAGGTTCAGCCCACGGCCATGATGAAAATCATTACTTCCTCATTGCCACGCAGTGATCAATGTCACTTGGGTCTGAAGGACCCAATCTTGTTCCAGATCCTAACAGCCAGGCATCCCGAAACCACACATTTGCTGCCGCAAGGGGCAACAACTGGCCTTCACCTCAATCATCTCAACAGACACAACTACAGCCTCCAACCACACTGCTGGGTCCCTTTACTCCAGAATAACGCGTGGTGGATCAGCATCGCTAAGCATGGACTACTGATGTCTGTGCACACCATGGGGAGAAGTTAATTTTCAAAGTCTGTTTATTTGGCATATGAACTTTTTTTATTTATAAAGGCTGTACTTGCACGAAACCTGTTATGTCCCTCAATTTCTCCTCCGTACAGAGCAGAGACTAGTTACAGCGATGTTCACTGCTGTATGTTACAGAGGAAGGAAATGCTGATGTTAGCAGGAACTCTGGTGTTTTAAAGATCTGACTCAAATGTCACTCCCGTCTCCTCCTCCTGATCTCAGTGCTGGCTGCCATGCTTTGACAGTGGGGGCGAGATCCAAATCCCAGTGGAGGCAGTGGAAAAGTTCCCACGTACTTCATTAAGTTTCAGACACTTGCAAATGAGCAGTTCAAAGCAAAGAAGGAAAAAAAAAAACCAAACTCAAGCGCTCCCCTCAGACAGTTCTGCAAGAGCTACACAAGTGAGCCCGGCCGCGCTAGCCCAGGTCCCCGTCTCTTCCCGCAGCGCTGCGCACGGCCTGCGTGCCGCCTGATGGCACGTCAGCCCACCCAGCACCAGCCACAGCTCCATGCCTGGCCTGCGCTCCCCAGCCTCAGGTTTGGCAAACGCAGTCCTGCACCCATTGTTCTGGGCTGCAGCATCGCGTGCGGCAACTAAGCACCAAAATAATTCTGTGTATTGAGATAAAAATGCTTTTTTGCAAGATCAGCCATGGACCCACGGTGACTGAAGTCTTTCCAAAGGAGGGTGTGATGCCTCTCCCAGGAAGACAACAGCGGCTTCCCATCCTGACAGCAGCAATGCGTCGGGGGCGACGTGGAGCCACCACAGTGGCCTGTCCTGCATCAGACCCAGCCTTCATCAGATCTGGCATCCCCATTTCAGCAGCAAAGCATTACCTTGACCAACGCCAGGCATGTCAGACAGGAGGACCCAGACACTGCTGTAATACAAATTTGGAAAAATCTGCAGAAACGCACACCTGCTGCTGCTGTCATTGTTACAGCTACAGGCCGACTTAAATCCTGAAGCATGGCCTCTAGAAGTAAATCTTGACTTTCAGTCCTGATGCTTCCCTGAAACTTGTGTGCACCCACACCACCCCATGCAAACCCTGCCACAGACCATGAACACAAGGACCCCTATTTGGCCCTGCTAGGAAGTCACCAGTCACAGGGCACCTGGAGGCAAAACCAGTGGGTCCTTTGAAAATGATGCTATGTAACTCACCTTCTGATAAGCACAATATTTTATTTCCCAGTGTAGTCTTCAGGTAGCCTCCACCTGAGCAATTTTTTTTTTTTTTTTTAAATCGAGGGTT